CAAGTTTTATTTCTGAAAAAACTACTTTGTAAAGCTTTGGGGATGAGCAGGGATTATGAAACTATATATCCAAAAGAGTATTATTTAACAGTTATTTTTTAAAGTTTTATATAAAAAGACGCGACATAACATAACGGGGGAGTGTTTTCTAAACTCATTTGTAGTGTATATGAATTGATCAACAAAATTTCTAGAATTGATTTCCAAATTTGGAAATCTCCCTGACTGTAATATACACGATTATTAAAATATTTTATGTTTTATATTCTGTACCACCGATTATTCACCAATTATTTGGTGAAAATTTTTAACACCCGATTAATTAATCAATGAAAAATTTTCAATACCCAATTAACCGGATAATTGGTGAATAATTGGTGAATATCATTCGGCGGATACAACCACTAACTAGTGTTGGTCGCCAAAACTATTTTGAAGAGGTGAAAGTCAAAACTAAAATTAAAAGTTATATGTCATAACTAAATCAAAAGTCAATAGTCAAAAATCAAAACTAGTTTCGACTTATGGCGAAACCTTTTGACTTTCACACGGTTGCGAAACTCTCAAGTTTTGGAAACCAACACTAATTCGAACCGATTCGAATATACACGAGATGGTAATTACCTAATTACCGTAAATACGTAATTCGTAATTATTACCACTTTTCCTCTTAAAAACATAATTATGAAATTAATTACTATTACGAGTGACAAAACTATGTCTGGCGAAATTATTTACGGGTGACGAAACTAATTACGAATGACGAAACTAGTTATGGGGTCACTAAATTAACTACTGAAAATATCATAATACAGAATAAATTTTATTTGAAATCAATGAAACTGAAAATTTTCTATATAATTCGTTGTTAACACTACAATGGTTAATCAACGTCAAAACCTTTGTTTTGTACCAAAGCAAATAAACAAAACTCGAAGTTCTATACCACTCTGATAATTAATCTAAAGTTTTTTCACTTAGTCAAAAGTGACTTATTTTTGTAATTGTCTTTAGGCCAATCATTTAAATAAAGTTAAATAAAACATTCTATCAGAAAGTTTGGCAATTTTCTTGTTTCCTTGTGGCTTAATCGTTTTTAGTCCCCACAATATCAATCAATATGTATATTTAAAGAACATCATTTTAGGATAATAAAATAACAACTTGTATTTTTACAATAATTAAAGTGCCTGTTTATAGAAACCATGTTTTATTTTAAGTAAGTAAATCACTCATGGAGACAATATCTTTCATTAAAAAAGATTTTTTTTTTATGTTGGTACTTTTATTTAGTACTTTATAAAGCGTAAAAAGTTTTAAAATATAAAATTTATGGATTTTACATAACCCATAATTGATTTCTTCTACAATTTCGTCACTCGTAATTAATTTCGTCACGAGTATCAGAATTATGTATTACATTTTTGACGAAAAAAATTACCATCCCATGTATACTCATCATACAGATAAGAATTTTTAATTCTGAAAAATGTTTCGAACTTGCAGAACACATCTCTACAATGCAACAGAACCATATTTATTAACGTTGTAATGCAACTTTTGTCATAAATTCTAAATAACTGTCAATACATATAAATTTTGCAAAATAATTCTATTTTATTTTTACTTTCAGATCAAGTTAGAGTTTTGACTTTTATTAGTACCAAGGTTTTACTCTAAATTTCAAATTTGTTGATGATAAATGCGCGTCAAAAATCAAATAAGAAATGAAATAAAAGTGCAAAAAGAAAAATTTTGGTCCTTGCATAGTATGTGATAATCAAGAACATAATAAAACTTGCGGAAAGATTAATGCACAAAAATAAGTCAAAGTCCCAATATTGAAAATATAAACATAAATTTTGATGTCAAAAGCGTCACAATGAAATTAATTAATTATGATCGTAATAATAACCCTATATTTGAACGAAATTTTATTGGAAATTGAAAGTTATTATTATTTTAGAAGTGAAAATTTTAGGACATATAAATGTCAGAAATAATAGACAGTGATTATATTACAAGTTATAACAGTTAGTTATCCCGTGTCATTTTTAAGTAATTGTCCATTTTTACTTATTTATACTTACTCAAAAATAAACTTTTATATTACAAAAAAAAAATTACAATTCCAAAATTTCTTTAATAAAATGGTAAAAAGCTTAATTCGTTTTATTTAAATATTCACTTTAAAAGGTATTTTTAATTATAATAAAAGAATCCTCCTTTTACAACTGCCTCAATGAATCCTGAAGTTGCAATCCAAGAATTAAAGAATCCTTGATGTATTTAGAAGTTATCTTCTCTTCCTCTTGATAAATATATTTTAGAATTCCAATTTAAATTCATTATTATTTTTACTATAATATATTTTTATTAATAAATTTTATTTCTGTTAGAAAGACAAATTTGAATAATCTTTTGGAGATACAGTCATCAAATATGTTAATGTAACAAAACCACAAAATACAGCAAAAAATACAAGATTATGGTATAGTCAATTTGAAGAATTTGTTAATGGTACACAACCTGCTATTGACATTATTTGACAAAAGGATTTGCATCATGTGAATTTATTGCTGTGGTAAAGACAAGAGAAAAGGAATATAAAGTCAGATTATTGTATAATATCAACAAGTTTATCAAGATATGTTTAAATTTAAATAACCTTTAATATATATGAAGACGTTAAATTTGTTACTGTACGAGATATTTTACACTCTAGAATGGTAGAACTAAAAGATTTTGGATGACGCCACTCATAATGGTGCCAATCCTTTTAACAGATGAGGAAATGGTTCAAATATTTGATCGCAAACGCCATCAATACATCAGAAGGTCTATTAAAATGTGTATTTCTTTGGATTGGTAGTTGCACAGCTAATGAGGCAGATTATATATTGATCTTAAAATAAGTCATTTCAAGGTTACCTGGTAGCACTAAAAATGATAATGATATTATTAATAGTAATATAATAATAAACAATAATGATGATTCTACAAATTAATGCTAAAAATAATAATGAAGGTGATGCTAAATTTATCTCTTCTTATAATTCAAATAATCCCATTAAATGAGGTTCATAATGTCATGGGATCCTTAAATCAAAATCAAAATGATTATGAACTTTACCACAGAATAAAATTACAAATAGTAAAATGTAAAATACATCTGTTAACTTTTATAAAAATTTATTCTTACATATGATGCTTATTATTATGTAATGAATATATTACAACTACATTTGAATAAATAATATATCGTTTGATTAACGTATTATTTATCTTCAGTAGGTATAAGTGAATAATTAATTGCATAAATGAGGTTGCATGAGTGATAATAATTAATAGAATAACTTGTATGTATAAATATAAGTTGTGTCCTATAGCATATAATTTAAGTAATAAATTAAAATCAATAAAAGATTACATGTTTAAGAGTTCGTTCCTTGTATATTTAGGAAAAATTTAGCCAATGAAATCAAAATAGATTAAATTGTTGATCAACGAGCTGATAATAACGAGGAAAAATATTATCAATTTCACAATAGTCCGCTTGAGGTAAACTTGTATCGTCGAGAATAATTGGTGTTTCTGTGCCATAATAAAAACATCCAATATTAATATCTATTTCAGATGGTTGAGGATGCGTACTATCTGGTTGTTGATTCATTATAGCCTCGATGAAATTTGTTAGTCTTATTATTGTAGTAAATTCATTGGTGTTATTATTATCACTTATATTATTATCATCATTCTCAATATCCGTACTGATACGAATATCATCATTATCATCATCAATGGCTGTCATATTCAAATTCGTAATGTTGTTGTTAATATATTGTTCTTCTAAAGACAAATGTTCAGCATTTACTTTTTGTGTTAAGGGTGTAACAGTAGATTGAACATACTGAATCAATGATTGACTCGATATCGAATCGGACATGTTGTAAATTTCAGTGTTGGTTGAAGATAAAGAATGAAAAGAGTGGGCGGATATTGGTAGAGTCGACGACGACGACGACGATGATGATGTAATGACGTTATTATTATTAATTACTTTTACATTTAATAAATGTTCCATGTTTTTTTTTTAATAAAATAAGTTAATGTGAAAAATAAATAAGGATATAAATCAATGAATAATTAAAATTTTTTTTCAAAAGTCAAAATCAATGACTATTTATTTAAAAAATCGCTCATTAAATGTCTTATAAAATACGAATAAACAATGACGTAATTGAAGTTTTAAATAATTATAACACCCGACATTGGGTGTTAGATATTGTCACCATCTCAAACAAGGAGATTTAAATTTCGTTTTTTTTCTTCCATTCTTCTCTTCTTTTTTTTTCTTCATTAGATTGACATTCCAACTCTGTATATTATTTGTATCATTATTTACTTTTTTATTTTCTTTTTCATAATAAATCTTCTGCTGATTATTCACTTTTTAATTTTTAATAATCAAGTATTATAAAAATTTTGGCGTACAACTAAAAAAATTCACATATGTATGACAAGTTATTTGCAATTGCTTGTCAAAAAAAATGACAAGTATTAAATAAAAAAAAAAACCAATAAATAATAAAATAACATAAGTAATAAATAATAATAATTGATTGGATCGTTTGATTTTCAATGTGTAACACAATCCCCACAAATAAACAATAAAAACCTTAATTTTCAACATAAAGCTGCCCGTAGAAAATCAATTGGTGCAGTGTTGAAATTTCGTTGTGCAACTAATCTCAAAAGTTGATTGGATAATAATATTACACACGGGACATTGCGGACATTGAATTTTCAACACTGTAATGGTAGAATAAATTTTAGAGAATGGGCTCGGGTGAAAGATTTCATTGTGCTTGGGAAAAAAATGCAATTAAAATATTTATTCTTTATATTTCAATGTAAAATTCGATAATTAAAGTTTGTAGATTGTACAAAAGAATATCAAAGATATTTAAATAAAATATTTATTCTTTGTAACATTATTTTGATTAAATTTGTTTGCCTATTTATCAAATGCGTTACATTCTCTATAAAAAAAAAAAATCCAAAGAACCACCGATTTTTCTAAACTTATGTCTCATACAATCATAATAATAATAAAATAGTAATTCGTCATTATAAAATTAACTAACAAAAATCTATCAATTAATATTAAAGGAAACCGCCTTTACACAAACTGTTATGCCCGATTCTGAAAATGGTTGCAAATATTATTAACACTGATGTGTTTACTTACATATTAATAAATATGATTTTTCCAGATGTTTACTAACACAAATCCTAAAATTCGCGTAAAAATCATTTTTAATTTTTCTGCTTCTGAGGTTATAAAAATTTTAAATGAATTTCTTTAAAATCTATACTCCCCTACTGGGGAATGTGTGTTCAAGATTGTTGGATAAAATAACTATATTGTTATGGGCACACCCAGTCCAATATAGCCTCGCGATAAAATTGATCTGCATATTTACATGGTACAAAACCTTTTTTATTTGTCCTTATGTTTGTGATTATAAAACAACAAAGCGCTATTACATTATGCAAGACATGCATGACTCTGGTAACATTCATTGGTTTTACGTTTAATTTCAAAAAAAAAAACGAAAAATCGCCAAAAAATATGTATCGGTCATTTATTTGATTTTAAAATCAAAGCTTTAATCAATTAAAAACATGCTTGTACCTTATGTCTTAATAGATTATTTTGTTTCAAAAGACAATCCAGAAAATCATCACGAAGTCAAAATATATTTATTCTCAAGATCATTAAGGTTGACAAATAAATTTATAAAGTTTCGTAAATATTAAAAGAATAAAAAAAAACCAAAAAAAATTATGCAAGAAATTTCAATAGTTGTTACACATGAATGGAAAAAATCAGAGCCAAAAAATAATAGAATTCTTTGAACTAATGTCTCTAATATCAAAAAAATGATTTGTCTCAAAGAAGATAGCAAATTTGCATCTCAATTTTCATTATTGTCACTACGATAATTTTCGTCTTCTTCCTGTTACCTTCTTTGATAATGTATAATAATCAGCATGAAGAATATGTTATACATTCAACCCACCCCGAAAAATTGTTTCTGGATGAATTCAATCAATAACTTGATCATATGATAGTGACACTATTGATTTTAATGTAATGTATAAGAGTAATCATGATATGAATGTCATGCATGAGAATTGAAAGTTATAGTACTTTTGGTGAATTGGCTACAATAGTAACATTTATTCCATAAACAGCGTCATCGAGATTAATATGGTGGATAGGTATTGTACTATCTGAAACTTACAACATTAATCTTTGTATTAATTGGTTCATTATCATTATTTATTATTATTATTATTTTTTTTTTTTTCATTTCCGTTTCCGTTTCTTCATCCCTATTACTATTTCTTTTTTACTTTGTGTCATTTGTAATAATTATGCTGTTATTATCTAGAAATTTTGATTTCCTAGCTACTCGTTACCATATAAATTGTTTTGTGTTTAGTTTTACTATTGGTGAAGTAATTGGTTATGGTGCCCAACATACTGGCTTGAAATGTCATATATAGGTCCCATCTTTTATCATATAATGTATATACACAAATATACAATTTTATCTTTGTTTAAGATTTTCCCGTATAGTTAAACTTTATTATTATTAGTATTTTAACTGAAATTTCTTTGTTATTCTCTAAACTATAATTAGGTATTGATAACAAAATGGTCCAAATTATAATTAGTAAAATCGCATCAAAAAAAATAAGCTAGCCTGTATATTAACGTAATAGTAACTACTATAAAAGGAAAAATAAAACGATTTATTCGTTACAAGTGTTATTGTGCATTGATGTTAATGTTTATTCATTAATATTGAATTTCTTGGTTAAAAATTCTAAATTTGGTAGTCATAATAATTGATCCAGCCGCAGAGTAGTAAACTTCGATGTGTGACTATATAATACAGAATTCCCACAAATTTAGAAACTATCTGCAGAAAATTATGATATACCCCACACATTCCCCACACTTAATTTTAATACTGTATATATTAATATTATTCAAGACCTTTAATTACAGCATTTATAATTAAAACCCCTAATTAAAATATTGACTGCATAAAAAAAAATATCCATCTTAATAAATAATAATATATTTTTTTAAAAAGATAAATAAATTCAATCGAAATAATAATAAGGGAAAAATTTTTGTATCAATTTTTCTATATGGTAATATAGTATAATTACTAATCAAAAGTACAAGTATTTGTTTTAATTGAGGGGTGAGTACAACTAATACTAGATGGAGGAATTATATTGATATAAATATGGAAGTGCAACAAAGGAAAATATTATTATTACACAAATTGTTTACATTAATGATATAATAATTTATATTAAATTTATTACCAGAAGCTTTGAAGATGATTAAAACAGAATTCGTTATATATAGTTACCCTGATTTATTTTTCATTGACTCGTTACAGCTGGAGAAAGAGAAAATTTGCATATATAGAAGAGGGAATGTATCACTATATTAAATATTTGAACAAATCAAAATCAATCGGAATTGTAATAACGAAAAACGAATAATTGCTATTTTTGTTTCGAATTGGCGTTATTTTTTAAAAGTTTTCGTGAGCTTGTGTGATATTATAAAATTATGCATCATAATTAACCAATTAATTACAAAATGTACTCCACTTTTACAATTATAATTGTCATTGTCCTTTTACGGCGATTTTTTTCTCATAATAATAACAAAGAAATCGTTAAAAAATTTTTTTAACAGAAAATAAATAATTTACTTGTTCATAAAAAAAAAATCATAATTATTTCCTTCTTTTTTTGGAAATTAATTAAAATAGAGTATCATTTTCAATGAAATACATAAATAAAAAAAATCATTTAAAAATATATTATATTAAAAATTAACATGTAATACTTGTTTACACAAGCTAAAGATATCCAAGTAGAACTAATTCGACATCTTCTGCAGATTCAATGATAATTACTTAGATGGTGAATAAGACTCTAAAAAAAACTATTTATTATTAAAAAAAATTTTGACTCGTAAAAATGCAATGTTATTATTATTATTATTATTATGTAAGCAAAAAAATTGAAATTGAAAATCCCCCGGATTAACCTTGTGATTTCTTTTAATTAAATTATACAACAGGATAAAAAATTTAAGTTTCTTAGAATTATTATATTAAAAAATGGTTTCTTTTTTCAGATCTTTTGCAATCCGTCAGAGGGGCGAAAAAAACTTGAAATGATAAATATGTCAATTGACTATTTAATCTCTTTTTCAAATAAACAAAGGAAAAAACCATCCAGATATTATTAACATCAAAAAGAAAATACAAATAAAAATGTTTTAACAATCATATTTTAAATATCGCAAAATAAATAAATTAAAACACGTTACAACTATCGTTCATGTTTACCAATATCATCTAAAAGAATATTAACTACATCCATTCGTTCGTGTTATTATATTTCTGTTTATACATACTACCAATATGTTAATCGGTGATTTTCTATTGAGATAAATAACTAGTCGTTGATGAAATGAAGGAAAAGGAGGACAATGTAGAAGGTGAAGAATTTAATAAAATTAAATATATTTATTAATAAATGAATTTCCTAGTTCTCTTCTTTGTTTTTTATCTAAAATAAAGCCAAGTGTTGAAAATAATTTAAAATTAATTTTTGGCGTTTGTACTACAAAACATTACTGCAATAAAAAAATTATTTTCGCGTTTTGGATCTATTATTACTATCAAAAAAAATTAAAAAAATAAAAAATGCACAAAAGAGCAATCCATCGAAAAGATCACAAAACTGAACGAATATATAAGTAAGCATTATTAAAGAACTAGAGCAAGAAAAAAAACACTCTTTGTAATGTTGTTAACTTAATACTTACAAATAAAC